GTTTTTATTTAAATAAGAACAATTTCTTTTGCTATTTTAAAACACTTTTTGGTTTCAGAGCTTTTTTGCAACATTTAAGAAAAAAATGGCCTAACTTTTTTTTTGAAAAAAAAAGGCTTTTTATACCTACTGTGAGAACCCTGGGCAACGTAGGGTTCTCAATCTATTTTGCATACAAAGTAGTAATCTATTTTTATTTGTTTTTTGAATGTCCGATCATAACTTATGAAAACCTTGACCGATTTGTCTCAAATTTTGTTTGGGAATCTCGGTAGAACCACAAGCATGTTTTTAGCCTGGTATAAAAATTATAAGTCGAGTGGGTTGACTTTTATACGGAAATCTTAGTTTACTGGTAAAGATGGGTTCCCAATCTAGTACATTATATACAGGGTGTCCCAATAAACATGAGAATTCAGTGACGAATTCGATATCGTCTTTTTAAATAATTCTTTGATTAAGTATAGTGATACCTACTGAGAAAGCTGTTATCTCTAAGAGTTTCGTCTGTTATGTTCACATTTTGTTTATGTTTTGACTGAATAAGGGTGTACTTAGTAAAACAAGAAAACTGCAGTATCAAAAACAGAGTAAACTTGTTCATCTTGCGGAGCCATTATAGACACATCTTTGCAGCCTTTTACCCTTTTCATAAAATAAACTCTAGCAGACATAATAGTATTATGGCTTTTGAAATTAGGTATTACAATGCTAATTCATAACAAAGACGATATCGAATTCGTCACTGAATTCCCATGTTTTTTGGGACACCCTGTACTAGCTAGGGAACCCTAAAAATTGAACCCATTCAGCTTAGAATTTTCAATTCAAGCTAAAACATTCCCGTGATTCAACTGAGTACCCAAATCAAACTTTAAAGGAAATTGATCAAGGGGTTCATGAGTTATGATCGGACATCCAAACAAACAGACAAAGATTACTTCTTTTCATATATATGTAGAGATGCATATATGAGTAGGCAATAATAAATATGCATGGTAACTATATGAATATCATATTGCAATCAAGTTTTTTTAGTTCTAAATTTCTATTTCTATATGCAATGCACTGAACAGGAAAATAATAAAATAAAATTCTGCATTATAAATCAGTAAAACTGTAAACAACTTGGATATAATGCATTCTCTATGCAACACAGCATCCTTAATAGTGCAGAAAGTATGGAACTTAACTTAACAACCCTTGCAAGCTGGAACATTAAGTTAAACACCAGTTGATACTTTTTAATAGAGAAAACGAGTAGAGAGCGTTGAAAATGAGTGTCTAACCGATTTAAATTAGATCTGTTCATTCAAAAGATTTGAGGTCGGAATAAAATAATAGAATTAAATAGAATTAATCCGTATCTTCTGAGGTTCAACAGTTCAATATTAATCTCTGAAGGTCTGACCAATCAGAAGTCATAAAAGATTTGAGCTGGGAACTTTTGTGTTGAATACTCTTAATCCCGATCGCTGTATATTCCCGTGGGCACTTTAATTTGATGATTTAATGCTTAATCCCTTATTTCAGTTTTTCCTCTCCTGATCAATTAGCTCCTTTCAACCCCTTACTGGTTGCAGATTACAAAAGATAGAAACATTAATCTCAATATCCACAATACAGGAGTTCCCAGAGCTGAAAACTTTAGAATGGGATATCCTTAATCCCGATCGGTCAATTAATCTGAAAATTAATAACAAGAGGAGAACAAGCATTTTTTAATCTCGCGATTAAGTAAAAGAGTGGATCAAGCCTTTATCCCGATATCCACCATTCAAAAGTTCCCAGCTCAGATCTCTCGGCCAATGAGAGATCAATAAAGTTTACGGATTGAGATTTTAATCTCTTAAATAAAAAGTTTCCGCTTTGATCACACCAACATTCCGAATCATGTTTTGGAGACATCGAAATTGTATTTAAAGTTTGATAATTGTCTAATTTTATTTATTTTAGGGCTGTTACATTTGTTCTTGAGATTTGCAATGCACTCTTCACCACAATATTTAGTTTAGGTAAGATCAAGGCAAACAGGTTTATTGAAGATCAAGGCAAACAGGTTTATTGAAGATCAAGGCAAACAGGTTTATTGAAGATCAAGGCTAACAGGTAGGCAAACAGGTTTATTGAAGATCAAGGTAAACAGGTTTATTGAAGATCAAGGCTAACAGGTTTATAGAATATCAAGGCAAACAGGTTTATTGAAGATCAAGGCAAACAGGTTTATGGAAGATCAAGGCAAACAGGTTTATTGAAGATCAAGGCAAATTGGCAATGTTGTAAAGGTAAGGCAAAAAAGGCAATTTTTATGTAATGTCAAGGGAAATGAGAAATGTTTAGCTAAAATCAGGGCAAGAGTGGGCAATTTAAACTGATAGATCAAGGCAAATAGGCAACATTTAGTAATATAGGCAAACGGGCAATATTTTACCAAGACGGATATTGTTAGTGAATATCAGGACAACATGTGTTGAATATCAAGGCAAATGGGCATTCTGCAATGCTTATTGAAGATCAAGGCAAATGGGCATTAGAGAATGTTTAGTAAAGATGCAAATGCTCAATTGTTATGTAAGGTTAAGTTAAATGATCAATATTTGTTAAGATCAAGGCAAGAGTTGGCAATGTTTAATGAAAAATCAATGCAAATAGGCAATATTTATTAAGATCAAGGCAAATGGACAATGTTTAGTAAGGGTCCGTGAAAATCATTAAATTTAGTTTTTTTGTGCACAGCCCCTACCCCTTGTCCCTCCGACTAAACCATAATTTCGCTGGAGATGTAAAATAACCTATCCAATGGATTCATTTACAAACATAACGTGAATATATTTTTTATCCATTAGAGATCTATCAGAGTGTCTGGAGCTCTTCATTTAGATTATTTACCTAGTCAAGTGTGTTATATAAGGGAGGGGGTGCAGGGACGCCATGAGCCCCTATAAAAATATTTTATAGGGGCTCATGGCAAACACTGCATGTAACAAATCTAGACGCTACTTCTCTAACGATTACTTAATTCAAAGTCTAATGAGATTCTCTCTAACTAAATCTCTAGCCAAAACTCAAGGCTCTGTATACGTCCGTTCTGATCAACTAATGATATTCAACTACTTTATTTATAAACAGGTAAAATGAACTGACCGGGCTAGCCCGGCTGGGTCAACATACAAAATAGTTAAGATAATAATATTATGAATACAGATAATAAATTAGAATTGCACATCATGGTAGAATATACTTCATGCATAACTATTTAAAGATTAAAGATTTTCTTTAAAAAATGTTATTTATTACTTCTATAATATCTATCCTAACTTTTATGGGTAGTGCCAGGTCATTTTAAATATTCATCTGCGAATGCGGAGACTCGAACCATTTTGCGTGGCTCATGGCGGCCTTGCACACCCTCCCTCGTTATATATACTGCAACTTTTATAATTCATTATTCAACACATTATTTGGAAATATTATTTAATACATTATTCAGAGACATTATTCAACACATTATTTAGAAACATTATTCAACACATTATTTAGAAACATTATTCAACACATTATTCAGAAACGTTATTCAACACATTATTCAGAAACATTATTCAACACATTATTTAGAAACAATATTCAACACATTATTTAGAAACATTAATCAACACATTATTCAGAAACATTATTCAACACATTATTCAGAAACATTATTCAACACATTATTTAGAAACATTATACAATACACTATTTAGAAACATTATTCAGAAACATTATTCAACATATTATTTAGAAACATTATTCAACACATTATTTAGAAACATTATTCAACACACTGTTTAGAAACATTATTCAACACCCTCTTTAGAAATATTATTCAACACAATATTTAGAAACATTGTTCAACACACTATTTAGAAACATTATTAAACACACTATTTAGAAACATTGTTCAACACACTATTTAGAAATATTATTCAACACATTATTTAGAAACATTATTCATCATATTATTTAGAAACATTATTCAACACATTATTCAGAAACATTATTAAACGCATTATTTAGAAACATTATTTAACACATTATTTAGAAACATTATTCAACACATTATTTAGAAACATTATACAATAATACAATAAACTATTTAGAAATATTATTTAACACATTATTTAGAAACATTATACAACACACTTTTTAGAAACATTATTCAACACACTATTTAGAAACATTGTGTATCACACTCATTAGAAACATTATTTTACACACTAATTAAAAGTATTATTCACAGACTTATAGAAACATTATTCAACACACTGTTTAGAAACATTATTCAACACCCTCTTTAGAAATATTATTCAACATACTATTTAGAAACATTAAATAACACACTATTTAGAAACATTAAATAACACACTATTTAGAAACATTAAATAACACACTATTTAGAAACATTAAATAACACACTATTTAGAAACATTATACAATACACTATTTAGAAATATTATTCAACACACTATTTAGAAACATTATACAATACACTATTTAGAAACATTATACAATACACTATTTAGAAATATTATTCAAATCATTATTTAGAAATATTATTCAACACATTATTTATAAACATTATTCAACACACTATTTAGAAACATTATACAATACACTATTTAGAAATATTATTCAACACATTATTTAGAAACATTTTTCAACACACTATTTAGAAACATTATTAAACACACTATTTAGAAACATTGTTCAACACACTATTTAGAAATATTATTCAACACATTATTTAGAAACATTATTCAACACATTATTTAGAAACATTATTCAGCACATTATTTAGAAACATTATTCAGCAAACTATTTAGATTTAGAAACATTATTCAACACAATATTAAGAAACGTTATTTAGCACAATGTTTAGAAACATTTTTCAGCAAAATATTTAGAAACATTATTCAGCTAAATATTTAGAAACATTATTCAGCAAAATATTTAGAAACATTATTCAGCACAATATTTAGAAGCATTATTCAACACACTATTTAGAAACATTATTCAACACAATATTTAGAAACATAATTCAGCACAATATTTAGAAACATTATTCAACACAATATTTAAAAATATTATTCAGCACAATATTTAGAAACATTATGCAACACAATATTTAGAAATATAGTTCAGCACAATATTGAGAAACGTTATTCAGCACAATGTTTAGAAACATTATTCAGCACAATATTTAGAAATATTATACAATACACCATAAAGAAAAATTACTTTAAGAAGAAGTAATTTAAAAAGCAAGCACTTCAGAGTGCTGCTTTGGAAAGGACATATTTTTGCCACAAACTCAGATTTTTTAATCCTTTTATCTTTGCAACCCAATGTTGATATTTTCAAAAGTAAAATTATGACTCTAAATTTATTATTTGGTTTTAGAAGCTACAGTAAAGATTGTGGGTCTACGCCACCATTACTTCACAGCGGCCTGGAACCTGTTTGATTTTGTTCTTGTTATTGCTTCAATAATTGGAATTCTTATGGAGGAAGGACATCAATATTTTATTATCGATTCAAAGTGCCAAACTTCTCTGTCTTTAAGGAATTGAGTCTTTGCCTCAAAATCTGATTTTCTAAACTCTATATCTTTGCAACCCCATGTAGAAGACCTAAGATATTTAAAACTTTGAATTCTGCAGTCAGATAATCTAAGTTTGAAATATTAAAGATTTGCAAAGACATTATAGGAATAAAAAATTTAAAATTCATTATATTATTTTTCTTTAAACTCAAGTCAATTTTTCTATCTTAAAAAATTATTAGAACATTGTTCATGGCAAGTTGTACATATGTACATACATAACAGGTTAAACAATGAACCATACTTATTTTAAGTTTTAAATTTTAAGGAATTAAAGACAGTATTCAATTCTGCAAATTTTTTCTACGTGCTTGATATACTGATGGTCCTGCAGGATTTAATGACAGACTTCCCTGTCTCCCCGACCTTGCTTAGGGTGGTCAGGGTCTTCAGAATCGGGAGAATACTCAGGTTGATCAAGGTATGTAGATCTACATGATCCAACAAGGTAGGGGAGGCGGCCCCCATCTTCCCCAGAGATGGTGGAGTCGGAAATTTACAGAGTAAATATTTTTCTCATGAAAAGATTTTATATTTCAGATACTTTCTTTTTTTATTCGCCATGCATTTCCAATTAAAGTTTTGAATTCTTAACCACAAGAAAAATATTCCCCTCCCCCAGACTCTAAACAATGTGCCTATATTGTGCCCCCAGACTCTAAACAATGTGCCTATGTTGTGCCTGCAGACTAAAAGTATTGGTCTTCTTGAGGTTTATCATGTGTAAGCAAATCTAACAGGAATCCCAAGGGATTTTGTTATATTATGTTTTATGTAATAAATATTAATGTTTAGGCGGCTAAAGGAATCCGTAAACTATTGTTTGCATTGATAGTTTCCCTCCCTGCACTCTTTAATATTGGGGCTCTCTTGGCCTTAATCACCTTCATCTATGCTATCATTGGAATGACCATATTTGGACATGTTAAACATCAGGTAAATATTCAACGCTTTCTAAGTAGTAAAGGTCATGAGACTGCCCTAAATAGACAGTTTAGAAACTGGTTTAATTGTGAACAAACTAAAAGTATGTGAACAGTAATTAAACAGGCCCAGTCTTCATGCCCTGCCAAGGAAAGTTACAATGCAGTACAATGTATACACAACCTCTATCCCTCTCTCCCAATAGTTCTAATTTAATGATAATAAATGTATGATTTTATACTGAGAAATTATATTTTCTTTAGATTATGGTTTACTTTAAATTAATATGCAGATTCTTTTTTTACCCAAAAATTGTCTTTTTAAGCACATTACTAGTCTACTTCACAAGGCTTTTAGGACGCCCCTATCCTGTAAATAATTTTAGCTTTTAACTCTGAAACTCAGCCATTTTTAACCATTCTCAAACTTTTCTTTTAATTTTGATGGCCCATAAACCTTCTTTAAGGTCATGTTAGGTCCCGCACAAAATGGTAGCCCAATCAGTTCAACTATTTTGACGTATTTGGATACAGTGGTAGGCGATTATATCAGTATAATGAAGACGATTTTCGCGTTTGATATTGATTTATATCAAGCTTTTAAACAGCATGAATACAATGAATATAAAAGTCGAGAGAAGCTGTCTTTTGGATTACTTGTAAACTTGTAATTTGAAAAATAATCAAATTCAATTAAAAAAGTCGTCTTCATTTTATTGATATAATCGCTAACCACAATACAAACAAACAAACACCAAGACAAGCTAACTATATATAGATAGATAGATTATTATAACCAAATATATAAGATTTACAAGATTTATATTTTCAGGGAGCCATTAATGATTTAGTGAATTTTGAAACATTTGGCAGATCAATGCAATTACTTTTCAGGTTAGTAAAATTAGAGGTTGGTCATTTTAGGTTTGGCTAATTGAATTTTGTTTTTGATTTATTCATTGATTTTTAGTGTTGGTTACATCAGCTTAATAATTGATTTAGTGACTGATTTATTATAATAAGGTTGGTTACATCAGCTGATTTATTGATTAATTGATTAAAAATGACCAGGTTGATGTTTAATTGAATTATTGATTGATTATGGTCAGGTTGGACACATCAGCTGATAGATTGATACATAACTTTATTATGCTTATTTGGTTACTTCAGCTGATAAATTAAATGATGGATTGGAAATGATCAGGTTGGACACATCAGCTGATAGATTGATAAATTACTTTATAATGCTTATTTGGTTACTTCAGCTGATAAATTAAATGATGGAAATGATCAGGTTGATTGAATCATTAATTGATTGATTATGTTAGGTTGGAAACATCAGGTAATTTATTGATTGCAATTTATTGATTATGCCAAGTTGGTAACATCAGCTGATTAATTGATTGATTGATTAGGTTAGGTTGGTAAAATCAGCTCATCAATTCATTTATCAATTGATTGTGTTAGTTTGGTAACATCAGCCGATTACTTGATTGATTGATTCATTATGTTAGGTTGGTAACATCGCTGATTAATTGGTTACTTGATTTATTATGTTAGGTTGGTAACATCAGCTGATTAATTGAATGATTGATTGATTATGTGAGGTTGGTAAAATCAGCTGATTAATTGATTGAATGATTATTTTAGGTTGGTAACATCAGCTGGCTGGAACGATGTTTTAGATCCTCTGATGGTACAGCCCCCAGACTGTGATCCAGACTACAAGGAACAACCAAATGGAAACTGTGGGTTCCCTCTCGTATCCATCATATACTTTGTTTCCTTCATCATCATTAACTTCATGATCGTCATCAACATGTACATCGCCATCATCCTGGAGAACTTTAACCAAGCGCACCAGGAGGAAGAAATAGGTAATTGAAGATTTACAAATATTTTTTTTAAATTTTTCAAATCCGACGTTTTTCACGTTAAAAAGCAAAACATTTTTAAAAAGCTGGAATCCGAGTCAAAAATTAAACCATGGTTCTGATTAATGTATAATATATATAAATGCTTATTTGTTTTAAGCCCAAACCTCAAAGAATAAATCTGGTGTTAGTTTTACATTTTTTAATTTATTATATTTTACCCTTTTCAGTTCTAACGGTTTAATAAGAATCCATAATAAAAATGTTAAAAAATCACAAGAAAATAAACAAAAAACTTTTTTAAAAAGGTTGTCAGATGAAAAAAGGAAGCGAAAAAGATCATGATCTGTAAAAATAAAATTTACAAATATTCACTTTTTAAATGATTATTATTCCTTGAGATTTGTTTCTGTTTAAATGTATAAGTAGTTAGGCTAGCAGTAAAAAACCAAATATAATATGTTGCACGTTGTACAGATCGGAACTCTTTGAGTTTAATTGACGTCATGAGGGCTTTAACAAAACTCTTAAAATACAATTCAATTGGATGCAGTGTCCAATCTATAAAATTGGATGCAGTGTCCAATTTATAAAATTGGATGCAGTGTCCAATCTATAAAATTGGATGCAGTATCCAATCTATTAAATTGGATGCAGGGTCCAATCTATAAAAAAAAACAATCTAGAAATCTGTTGTATTCAGGTATAGTTGAAGAAGATCTGGAGATGTTTTATGGTAAATGGTCCAAGTATGATCCACATGCAACCCAGTTCATCACCTTTAATCAGATGTCAGATTTCATCAACAGTCTTGATCCTCCTCTGGGTATTCAAAAACCCAACATGCTGGCAATAGTCAGCTTTGATCTTCCGATAGCCAAGGGGGACAAGATTCATTGCCTTGATGTACTGCACAGTCTGACCAAGTACACACTGGGGTTCGTAGAGGACGAATCCGAGGATTTCTCTAAACTTACAGAACAGGGATATATGATCACACAATACAATTGTTTAAACAGGGGGATACATTTTAAGGNAAAGAAGGTTAATGACCTTATAAATATTTTCCATCAATTTATCTGAACAATAAAATTATCGGTTCATATTTTAGAACTACAAATATATTCGCCACTTTGTTACAGAAATTCACGCTTAGTATTAAGTTTAAGAATGAAAACAAGGATATCTCAATCATCTGTAATCATCTTTTGTAAAGTAACATTTCATGGAGTTGCTTCCTTGTGCTTTTAAAGTACGAAATGCTGAAAACTATTTTTGTTTGAAAAGTAGATTCTAAGTTTCTGTCTAAGTTGACTTTAAAGTAGTTTAGTCAGCTAGGGGTTTTTACAACCGATTGATATTTACTGTACAGGTTTATATAGATGGATGAGAAGTTTAAGAAACAGTTTCCAACCCGGAAGGAACTAGAGATAGTTTCCTCCACTAGAGAATGGAAAAGGTTGGATACTGCAGCTAGATGTATTCAGAAGTTCTACCGTATATATATCAGGTAATTAACACTCAACTAGACATGCCACATTACTGGTACAAACTTGTGACCTCGTTGCTCCTCCCGTTTTGAATAATATGCACAAGCTTTCAATAAGTGGAGATGATATATTTAACACATATAAACTATTAAACGCAAGTAGAAAATTACATTAGGTGGATAAGAACTGTTTTAGTTGTGTGATCTCACGATTTTAAATTTGTGTATAAATGCTTTATCCCGCAATTAAAAGTTATTCCCGTGGGGTATGACCATCGCAGAATATCGAATAGGATTTATATACGTTTTCAGAATTAGTTTTTTCTTAAATTATTAAATAACGACAGCGAAAAATAAAGTAAAAATTATACAGTAATCTAATTAGATGGTTAGCAACATATTTCTCAAAAGAAATTTGTCAATAAATCAATGCGAAAATCGATTATTTCGCTTTCATTATTTTATTGAATTTCTTATTTTCTTTGAATTTATTCGCAGATTTCTTCAAATTCGTCAATAATAATTCCAGAAAATCTGCAGAAAATCTTTGTGAAAAATGAGAAACCAGAATAATGAGAAAATAGAAACTAATAATTGAACAAGATGACTTATTTTCGATGATAAGATTAATTTTTATTTTCTCAACATGTTCCTCTACATGAAGTCTGTGTCATTATTTAATAATTTAAAAACCTAATTCTGAAAACGTATCCACCCCAAAAGTAGGAGTTTTGAACGTCAAATTTGCGCTCAAACTCAGGATTTACAGATCTTTAAAAAGTTTAATATGTCTCAAATGAATCCGAAAGAAGTTTTCCACAACACTGTATACTCAGTTCAACTACCTTACATAGCCGGTCACTCCCTTTAAATATGACCTCAATTATTAGATTTCAAAACAATTAATAATTATTCATTTGCTAGGAATCATGAGAACTCTGATCCCCAGGAAAGAATAGATATGGAAACTCAAACAAAAGGAAAACGAGGATCAAGTAAACCAAGCAGTAGTAGTAGTAATGCACAAGGTAAATTACAATATTACGGAGAGATTCGTATAGAGTATTAAAATATATTAGGCACGTATTCTCCTGATATTTCCTATTCAAAATCTTTATATTAAATTATAAGGACCCATTCCCTGGGAATGCTAACTAAGACTAATGCCTCAACCCTTGTATATGCTAACCAACATAAAATTAATATCTACATCAGATTGATACAAATCTTTACTGGTACGATCTTATCATACGATTCTATGAAATACTGTTTAATGGCATAACATATTTAATTAAACCCCGTCTTTGGCATACAGTTTATATCTTAGTCTATGTCATAAAGTTTATATTCAAGTCTATGGCATAAAGTTTATATTCAAGTCTATGGCATAAAGTTTATATTCAAGTCTATGGCATAAAGTTTATATTCAAGTCTATGGCAAAAAGTTTATATTCAAGTCTATGGCATAAAGTTCATATCCTAGTCTATCGCATACAGTTTATATCCTAGTCTATGGCATAAAGTTTATATTCAAGTCTTTGGCATAAAGTTTATATTCAAGTCTATAGCACAAAGTTTATATCCTAGTCTATGGCATAAAGTTTATATCCTAGTCTATGGCATACAGTTTATATCCTAGTCTATGGCATACAGTTTATATCCTAGTCTTTGGCATACAGTTTGTATCCTAGTCTATGGCATAAAGTTTATATCCTAGTGTATGGCATAAAGTTTATATCCAAGTATATGGCATACAGTTTATATCCTAGTCTATGGCATAAAGTTTATATCCAAGTCTATGCTGTTATAAAGTTTATATCCCAGTCTATGGCATAAAGTTGATATCCAAGTCTATGGCATAAAGTTTATATCCAAGTCTATGGCATAAAGTTTATATCCAAGTCTATGGCATAAAGTTTATATCCAAGTCTATGGCATACAGCTTATATCCAAGTCTATGCTGTTATAAAGTTTATATCCCAGTCTATGGCATAAAGTTTATATCCTAGTCTATGCTGTTATAAAGTTTATATCCCAGTCTATGGCATAAAGTTTATATCCTAGTCTATGGCATAAAGTTGATATCCAAGTCTATGGCATAAAGTTTATATCCAAGTCTATGCTGATATTTAAAGTTTACATCCAAGTCTATGGCATAAAGTTTATATCCAAGTCTATGCTGATATTTAAAGTTTACATCCAAGTCTATGGCATGAAGTTTATATCCAAGTCTATGGTATGAAGTTTATATCCAAGTCTACGGCATAAAGTTTATATCCAAGTCTATGGTATGAAGTTTATATCCAAGTCCATGTTCATAATGTTTAAATTAAGGCATTAAGTTTATGGCTTTGAATAGAAAAATCTTGTATCTTATTGATAATTTGACTTTGTGTAATTTGACATTTGGCAGGAGTAATCCAATAACGGGAAATTCATTGGATTATTTCGCAATTCTCTTAAGATACATAGATTAATAACAGTACAGATGGAACACTAGATGTCGTCTTTTCAAGATTTGAGGCTTTTTCGTTTACAATAACCCTGAGGCAGAAGCCCAAAGGAGTTCCGCTCAGGCAGCGTTGAGTTACAAGACCAAGAGAGAGCATGCACGTTACTCCTTTGTGCCTCTGCCTCATGGCCGGTTATTGTGAACGAAAAACACCCTAAATCTTGAAAAGACAACATCTAGTGTTTTATCTGTGTTGTTATTAATCAATGTTTCTACTGTTTAAAGGGGGGATTTAGTTCTTGTCTGAGAGGTTTCTAATTATATATACAAGGGTAACCACCAAGAATGGTACTTTAATTTCGAGATGAATTTCTTGAAAAAAATAACTATCTGTCTTAACCATAAGCTTCATGTGGGATGTCTAACGATTTTGGAAATAAACATTTTACAGAAAAAATTAACTCTCTCTACATGTGATGCTACATGCTTTGTGATTTTTGATTAACAATGTATCTCAGTTTTCACAAACATGTCTAACCCCAATCAAAGTCAGAGCAATAAATATGCCACTACTGCCAATCTATTGTTATTTAGTTTTTTTGTCATTTTCTGAATGTGAGCCAAGCAGCTGAGAAATAAAACGTAAAAGATAAATGCTCATTGAGAATTTAGTGATAGAAATTGAATAGGAAACTATTTATAAAGATATGCGGATTTTTTACATTATAGGTAGGCCAACCAAATCTGAGATCTGTATCCCATCATGCAAAAAATGTTCTCTGACCATAGATATGTACATATCAGATTCTGGTTGAGCCCCTTGAAGTAAAAAACGGACCTTATTTAACGATCCCTTGCTTTTTCTGTAGCTAATTATTGTAATTACAATTCGATTGTCCTAAGTAATGACTGGTAAGTTGACTAATCAAATTATTGGAAATTATAGCGGGACTCAATCTAATTAGTATGCGCCAAGAATATCTCATGAACACTTTTTACATTTTCTAACTATTATTTGGAAAACAAACTAATGAAAAAGATAAAAATGCCCATTTATAATGATAATTCCTTTCGGGAATTTAGGTTTTAGATTGATTTAGATATGAGCAAATGTATCATTTGTAAAATAGTTCTTCTCAAAATAAGTTTAAACTAATTTAATTATTATTTTTAGAATCTTCCAACATAACAAACAAGAAAATAGAAGAGAGCACAAGGACAGGGAAAGAGGAGGAAGGAAAAGGACGAAAGAGACATGAGAGATCTAAGAGTCGGGTTGTGACGGAGGTTTCTCCCAGGATAAGGATTGAGAACGAGGAGACAAGAGAGGAGAACGGATTTGATCCAAATAATGGTCAAGGATATGAAGAGTACGGCCAGGAGGGAGAATATCAGGAAGAGACTGATTATCAGGGAGAGGATGTATACCAGGGTCAGGACGGATATCAGGGAGAGGACGGGTATCAGGGAGAGGACGGATATCAGTGTGAAGAAGGATATCAGGGTGAGGATGGATATCAGGGACAGGACGTATATCAAGGAGAGGAAGTCTATCAGGGACAGGACGGATATCAGGGTGAGGATGGATATCAGGGTGAAGAGGAATACAAGAAAGAGGAAGACTACAACCCAGAGTATCCTGAGGATTATTCAGAAAACTCTGCTCATCAACATCAAGTTCAATCCTCTCATATCTCCCCTCGTGCATCCCATCCTTCTCATGCTAATCCTCATTCTCCCTCTCTTCATCCTCATCCCTCTCATAGTCAACCTCATCCTACTCATGTATCACCTCATATTCCACCCCATGCATCTCATGTTCAGTCTCATGCCCCTAAAGTTCCTCCTCATGCGTCTCATATTCCCCTTCATCCTCCTCAGGTTCCCCCTCATGCTAGTTTACAGTCTCATAGTCCTCATGGATCTTCTCTATACTCACCCAAACATGTTTGCCTCCCGCCTCCGAAACGACCTCATTCTTCCCTCGGTGGACCTCTGCGGCCTCATATTCATGTTCAACCTAGATTCGAGGATACTTCGGTTCAACCTCATTATATAGATATATACTCAACACACCCTCTTCCACACAATCGGAGACATCAGGACCAATCCTCCTACCAGGAGCAGGACCAGGGACATTACCCGGAGCAACCTAGGATACCTAGAAGCTATAGCGGGGACTACGGAGGAGATTATGTTAGACCTTCATTCCCAAACAGGTTTTTATTTATCAATTATTCAAAATAAATGATAATCATCAATATTATTTTATATTAATTTTGGCCATCCCTGTAACTTGTAGATCTGTAAGAGATTAAAGGTTGAAAATTCTATCCCTTTACTTTCTTAAACAAAGTTATATTACTATTTTTGAATTAATAATTCAGTCATGAAATCAGCATTATTTTAATAAAGAATAAATAAAACCAATCCCATCTAGCGGAGTAAAACTGAACTATTATATTGCAGAGACAGGGCCTACCTAGACAACCCTCACTCACATATGTTCGAGGATGATGTCTGTTATCAGTGCGAAGAACAGCGTTCAGTCAGGGTACGCCATCCTGCAGGTATATTATCAATTATTAGTAAAAAGAATGTTTTATTGTATCTTTATCCAAAGGAACTAAAACTCACCATCTTTATTTTATCTTCTAATCCCCATAAATTTTCAACATGATGGTATAAACCTTAAATAATTCAAACTGAAGACTATTTAATCTAACTGAATTTATAGATTAGAATTAAAAATGTCCTACATCAGGTTTCAAAGATATAGAGAGAAGAAAATTAGGATTTGTCGGTGCTCAGTTTCTAATCTTTTAGATAAACATAATGATATATTCCAGGTGATCCTGTGCCCGTATCCTACCGACACTCCTTCCACGCTTCTGGAATAGGGAGCAAAGATTGTACCGGAGATGGATCCTGTAGAGCTAGATATCAGGGTAGAGAAGGTATCAGGACTCTACCAAAGATAGTAAAATATCCTGGTTCGGGTGTAGGGGTTGAGGTACTCCCTAGAACCAGGAGAAACCACGGCTGTGATAATCAAAGACGCACACAAGAATGTGGAGGAGGAGGAGGAGGGGGCAGGAAGCTTCCACAGGTTCCTCAGGCTCAACCCCCTCCTCAGGATTCAGAGAAGGGGAAACAGTTCAATCCCAATGATTCTCGCATGAGGGACTCGATACATATTGCTTATGAGAACGAGAATAGGGTTGAATATAAACAAAGATCATTACCTCGAACTCCACGAGATCTGGAGCAAGATCAAGCTACCGGGACTCAAAAACCACCTCGGAGATCCCCTAAACGGATCTCTGGATGTCAGGAGGCGTATCATGAACATGATACAACCGACAGAAAACATTCGCACAGGAGTCCGCACCAATATTCAGGATCAGACGAGCATCATCGACGAAGGCCGGACGAACCCAAAAGATCTCCGGGACGGAGTCAGGATGGCTCTCGTAGGACAGATCCTAAAAAATCGCAAAGACATTCTTCTAAACCCGGTTGTGATTCCAGGCATAGAAGTGTGGGAGGGGGGCAGACGAGAGAACTTCGGGGAATCGTCCGTACTGGACGATCTAGGATGACGAGACAGAGTCCAGTAGAGGACAGATTAAGTATACACGAGGACGAAAGTATGAGTGATGCATTCGACGATGACGGACTTTTTCAGATTGATGACGATTTTGCTAAGTTTCTTGATGATAAAACTTCTTGCCAAAAATAGAATATATTTGAAATACATATTATTTAAGATTTATCAAGATTTATTCTTACAAAAAAAAACCATTTTTATCCTGATTGTTAAAGTATTAAATTTATGAATATAGAAATCTTTAAAAAACATGTGAACAGAGCAGTCTAACTTGAAAACTATTGAAGATTGTCATCATCATTCTTTTATAATGAAGTGACTCAACTCTTTACTATACACAGTGGTAAGCGATTATATCAATACAATGAAGACGTTTTTTTAATTCAAGTTTTGATTTGATAACGAGCTTTTTTCGAATTACAAGATCAAAGAGAAGCTTTTTCAATTAATTGCTTCTTTTGACTTCTATGTTTAAGTGTACACATGCTGTTTAACAGCTTGATTTGAATCAAAATTAAATTCGAAATTCGTCTTTACTGTATTGATATAATCGCCATACCACTGTATGAACATTTCGATTGTTGTAAAGCTTGCTTGAATTACAAAAATCCTCTTCTAAAGACCATGATTAAAGAAAGAAGACGACAATTAATCCACTATTGAATGGTTTAATATGTGAATGAAACATGTATTAATATTACAGTGAGAACCAGAAAACTCTGGAATAGAAATACGACATTAAAGCTATACTTATGTGTATTTTATGTTGTACGTTACAAAGCAGATAGTTTTACTAGAAACTTGTAGAAGTGAAATTATCTGTTTAAAATGAACAATTGCCGTGTCTCATATGTTCATTGGACTACTTATTGTGATAACTGAGTCTAAAAGTCGTCTTCCTATTCCCCAATTGTTTTGGTTCTCACTGTATTAATATATGGAAAACCCGGTATTGTCCAGGTTTGAAAATTGTTTAAGCTGTCACCACAAATATACAGTTAAACCCTAAATGAGCCATACATCGAAAGAATTTATCAAATGTCGTCTTGACAGTTTTTCAATGGGTTTTACACTGTTTTACGTAAAGCTCAGTATTTGCAAAAATAAATGAATAGCCATGAATATGCGAGAACAGTTTTAAAGAGCTCCATATAATCATTTATAATCAAAATAACTAAATATCTGCAACATCCCATTATCAGAAAGTGAAGAATACGATATTTGATGAATTCTTTTGATGTATGGCTGTTGACTTTAAAAGTCACTATAATAAAATAAAGAGATCCAAATGGATATTTCTAACATTTATTTTTAAAAAACGAAAGTTTTGAAATAGTTTCCCAAGAATGGGTTAAAATTGGCTGGTTAAAAATTAACAAAGAAAACTATTGACGAACATCAGTTGGATTCTAGTTTCTTACAAATTTCTAATTCTAAATTTATCGTTAACAATAATATTTACTTGTTGTCGTTGATTTTTAAATTAAACTGAAGAAAAGAAAGTCAAGATTTCCATTAAATAAAAAAAGCTTGAAATTGAAAAACACATTCGATTTATAAAATTGGGAACATTTTTTGCCTCGAAATCTCAGGTTCCTGAATCTGTCAGGGGGTGGCGAATGTCCCCCCGCCACCCCCCTGTATCAGCCCCTGGGGCGAACCAAAGGAAATAGATTCACACGTCTTGAAAATAGTCATCGGCATTTGAGTCGGTACAATCGTCTTCCTTATATTTCGAATTTTTGTTAACAATGGCTTATTTAGGGTTTAACTTATGTAAGCGAAGAGCTTTATTATCAGGATTCTAAATATTGTGACAATTATGAGCAAACTAGTAACATGAAAATATAATAAAAACAATGTGATTAATCTCTAAAATTTCATGTCAACTCTCATGTTTCGTGGGACACCCTCTATCACTGATTCTCTCAAAAACTGCGTATTATAGGAAAACTACAGCTATATGTAGAAAAACGTCGTACTTTTATCATCAGATTTTTGAGACACTCGGCAGAAAACTCTTTAAAATCTCCCTGATTGCGTTCCAAATGAAAATGTTCGATATTTAGCTTTAGTAATTGAACTAATAAAATTGGTCCTAAATAAATGCATTTCTCCCGAAAGACGACATATTGTTTCTCCCAAACATGATCTGCAGGAAGACGACTTTTAATTTTTAGATTGTAATGGGCAAACGGTTTTAAAAAAATTAATCTATAGAAATTGTTTGGCTTCACAATTTTAACATCATAGGTTTTTTTTGGTCTAAAAACAATTTTACCAGTTTGATTTGAAGTTTTTTTTTGCTTTTGTTTTTGTATTTATGTTTATTACTTTGCAAAGTCCCAGGAATAATCTAATCCCTATATTTTTGAAAACTGATGGTGTTAACCTAATTGATATTTTGATTTTAAACTATTTTATCTAACAGAATTTATATTTTGAAATATATACACATTCAGTTGCAAATATATATTAGACTCACTTCCTTCGTATAATATATATTAGACTCACTTCCTTCGTAAAATGTTTTGCCGTGAAAACCATGTTATTTAGGATTGAAACTACTTTGGCGGTATTATATAATTATTAAAAAACAAAGACAAAAATTACAAAATTTATTCTGTCTTTTTGTTCTTTAGATTGTAAATTGTAGAAACGATAAAGATCTTGTTTTTAACGGTATTTGGAACTAAATTTGATAAAATTTATTCTGTCTTTTTGTTCTTTAGATTGTAAATTGTAGAAACGATAAAGATCTTGTTTTTAACGGTATTTAGAACTAAATTTGATAAAATTTATTCTGTCTTTTTGTTCTTTAGATTGTAAATTGTAGAAACGATTAAGATCTTGTTTTTAACGGTATTTAGAACTAAATTTGATAAAATTTATTCTGTCTTTTTGTTCTTTAGATTGTAAATTGTAAAAACGATAAGGATCTTGTTTTTAACGGTATTTGGAACTAAATTTGATAAAAAGGCTGAGAATGTTTCACTGAACTCAGATTAAATTGAATCAGTTTCCTGAAACTGAAACATAGAGTGCTTCAACTACAGCTAATTAGTTTATAAAAATAGGCTTCCACATAATTCCAGACAGTTATGAAATGTTTCACGGCTTTGAAATTTTGCAATGCACTGGTCTTTGATTTTACTTACTTTAATTAGATAAAACTTTATGGCAAACCAGGCATGTGCATCCAACATTTACAAACTTAATTCAAAGAACTCTTAAATCTTTGGTTTTAATTGATTTTTGGATCAATGTATTGACATAAAACAATTCATGGCAACATAAAATGCGGATCACTTATAAGATAAATCCGAAAGTTTTGTATGTGTAGTATAAATAGTATCTGCAAACTTATCCTGAAAGTTTGATGAAAATACCCTTCCAAGAGTATTATAGAGTCATAAATATAACTTTTAACATCCATCAAACCACCCTGCTTCATTAAATGTTCAATGAGCTTTAAAAGAGGATTGACAAATTTTAAAAGGAACAGTATAAAGCACAATTCCAAGTGACCCTCCATGCAAAGATGTCAATGCCCGATTCACAGCGGCACCATAAAAACTTTGTCTGATCTAGGATAACTTTATATCAATGTTTAGAACTTTGAAACTAAGCATTTTCAACAGTGGTATCTCTTTAAAGAGACTTGCGCATTTCTACTGCAGGAAAACGTAAATCAATTATCAGAATTTAACACTTATGCAACTTAAAAAACAACGCCATCTTCCACATTATTGATCAGATTAAGGTTTCAAGGATACCGTGCTTTGTAAAACGGATATTGCCATCGTTTTCTGAAGGATCACTTGCAATTACGCGTACAGTCCCTTTAGTGTTATTATTTATTCCATCCTTTGTTTACTGGGATATTTGATTAACAAAAGATAGGAAAGAGAAGTAAGATAAACTAAGGTTTGCATTATTTACAACTTTTTGCGTCAAAATAAAGTAATGTTTTTGAAGTGCTATTGAATAGATTAAAAGTTTTGATATAGAAATTCTCATGCGCAAAATTAAGACTGGAGGAGCTACGAGGTGACACAGTCGTTTTAGTAATTTGACATCCGTTTGACCTTTCCCCGTGTCCAGATTGTATGAACCTAAATCAAAGATGAACCTAAGAAGTGAATTTGCAATAAACCAGAAACCTGATATTTGTTTTTGGGTTTTAAGTATTTACCGGATATTGGAGACTAGGTTCCCAAGACTGTAAAGATGGAGTGGAGAATGCACGGTCAGAGGGGGGGGGGGTAGGTTAGTTTTTGGTGCTAAAAAGTGTTCAATTCTGATAATTCCTTTGATGTTTTCCAGCCCTAGAAATGCTCATGTCACCGTAGAGGAACCACAATTGAAAATTATGAATTTTCTAAATCATAAACTTTAATATCAATTCATACCTGATCAGACAAATCTTTCAAAGGGGGGCATTGCCATCTTTGCATGGAGGTTCACTTGAGATTACACTCCCACTCCCTGTAAAGCAGCTATATAGCTTAAAGTGACTGGTCACTGTCGACGTAATTAATCTTGAATCCCTTATATAAACTTCATTTTAAAGTTCTGCAGGCCCTATTGGCAACGGTAGCATTTAGCTCATATTATTAACTGAAGATATTTTTTCCGATCTTTAACAGATAAAATTCTTGAAATTTTCCTCCTTGTCTTTGTTGCATAAATCCGCCAGTTACTTCTGTTGAAAACCGCAATAGAAAATTATCCAAGTACAGATAGAAAAAAATATACTCAATTTACTGAAACCAAAACCATTACTCCATGTTTGATTCGGCCTAATATAGTACAGGTTTAATCACAGCTTTATACATAAATAGATAAAAAGATAGTTTGAAATGATATTGTATTCCTGCATTAGACTGCAAAAATAATAAGGGATAGAAGATTAAAGTTTGGTCTGTTTGAGGAGAGAAATCAAGTAGTGTAATCTTTAATTTGTTTTGGTATTCTAAAAGTCTGCAGTGGTATGTATTTCTTGAGTAAAATCAAGAGTATTATAGTCCTGAATTACATGTAAACTGAAAACTGGAGGCTAGGTACGGCGTTGGAAAGTCAGACCAGTAAAAATGTCTGTATTCGTTATGTCCTACTGTTTATTAAAAACTACTGTTCCTATTTTCATTGGTACTTTTAGCCTT